GTATTTACTAGATTTACATACAAATAATAATGATAAATGATGATAAAATAAAAAGCTTGTGTTTTGTTTGTAAATTGCTTATTTTTTCATTACATTGAAATTGTGGATTCTATCAAACATTTTTCTACAGGATGTATGTACTGTATTTTTTTAATGTGGCAGTCTTTGAAGCATATCAACTGTGCAAAAAGAGGGCTAAATGTACTCAATGTTAACAGTAAATGCTGTTTTATTATGTCGATATTCCACACTAAAAAATGTGAGGGTCAGGGAATTTGGACAAAGTTGGTCAGGGAAAATCAGGGTAAGTCAGGGAATTCAAAACAAAAATTTGAGTAGGAACCCTGTATAAAAATTATGATGCATAACGACATCTAGTATCAAAAACGTTCCGATGTAAACACAAAAATATTCGGGATCACCCACGCAGGTCAATAAGGTCAACATGAATATTTTCGGGAACAATGTAGGACAAGTTAATTAAACAGGTAGCCAGTCAATTAAAACTAAAAATAATAAAATACTAATTAAAACTCTGGTTTTTACACTGAAACTAAAACTGAAATTAAAATTAAAAATAAAATCAAGATTAATTAATTAAAATTTAAATTTAAATCAAAGCAATTGAAAAATAATATTTTGGAAAGTGTGGATAAAGTATTTGTTGTCTGTCTTGATTGATTTGGTTATATTTTATCCATGCAGAGTTTCTACAGCAGTTTTTTTGTAAAGTGGTTTCGGTTGGCAGTGACAGAACATTTTGCTTTTAATATACAGTGGGTGATCAGTTAACGAACATAATCCATTCCAAGACTTTGTTCACTATCCGAATTGTTTGTTAACCGATTATCGATTTACCATAGGTTTTGATGGGAATTTAATTAATTCGTTCTGGAGACCCCCAAAAATAAAAAAATATATACTTTACTACGTTTATTTATATGTAATAATAAAAATACATCCATACACAGTCTTGTGTTTTTATTAGTCATGTTTTTTTTCTGTTTGAAAGGGTTAAAGAATCTGTCTAATGTCGATTGCTTTTCTCTCTTCTTCAGGATTTTTTGTAAGTAATTGCAATTGTAGAAATCCCCAAGCCTCAACCTGGTTTGGATGCCATTCTAAAACCGTTGTTCTGACATCCTCCCACTTCTTCAAAGGATCTTTAATAACAGATATTGGCATTAATCCTCTTTTTTAGAAGAAAACATATCTTGCCGAGTTTCTTGGTGTTCTTCATTCAAGAGTTCTTGGCGTTCTTCTATTGTCAGATCCGTTTCAGGTTCCATTATGAACTCTTCGATGTTGTATATTTCTCAGATGTGATTTTTGTTACTCTTTTATCCGCTTCTGTCTTCTTGATTATAAACTACTAGTAGCCCGGGACGTCCCCTAGTGGGCGTTTTTTACAATTTTCCATGAGGTACGGTTCCTTTGACTTTTTTGTTCCTATCAGTATGCTCTACAGCTCTGTTAAAGTCCCAATGGTAAGATTTACCCTTCGAATGAAGAGGTGGCGACCCCCCCAAACCATAGACCCCTGTACTACAATAAAGTCAAAGGAACCATACCCCTACTCACGACCCTTTGCGAGATATAAGCCCCTGAAATAATAAATTCCTATTACAAATATACTGAATTATTTATATTGTTATATTGATCAAATAATTTATAGGCCAAATTAATAATAATAATAATAATAATAATAATAATAATTTATATTGTTAATTAAAATTGTTAATTTGAATGTTTGAAATATGACACATGATAGGGGCGCCTCTAGTCTCCGTTATCAAACGGTTACACGGACAGACACTCGTTGAATGGGTTATATATATAGATTTTTCTTAAATAAGATTGAACTATGGCCTACTGTAGACTTGTTCACGCCAAACTGCCCAGCAACTTTAAGTTTCTTCTGCTCACTCTCTAACTTTGCTATTATACTCTCACCTTTCGGAAAGGAAAACAGATTCAAAACTTAATGAGTGCCTACCCGACACTCTCACGAATACATAAAAGAATTGTTTTGTCAGAAAAATAAAAGGCTGGAATTACAAGGGTGAGTTCAAAGTTCGGAGGAATACTATCCGATCGGTATATACTGGTTTGAGCGTCGATGTTGACGTCTCCCACACTCTGAAAGGTTTCGAATTGTTGCCTGAAGACAAGGGAAGACCAATCGGTATTCATTATTTTACATCGCTTTTTCTTGTATTCTTGTGTTTGTTCTATGGGGTGTTTGTTATCTGATCATGTGTTTGTTGTCTGAACATAAAAATCTTTCGCGAAAGTGTTCATTATCCTATCTGTTCATTAACCGATTACCCACTGCATATGTTACTGTGAATGACCGATATCTGGCGAATATCAACATTCTCTGGTGAATGTCAGCATTCACACAGTCATTTCGTGTATGTACGAAATATTTGCTAAATATCATTATTTCTCACTTACACCGGAAAATGTTGACATTCATCATGCACTGATGGTGAATGTTGAATAAAAATATTTTTATTATGTTAAGACAAAAATGCAACTTTCTAATATGTCAAAATAGGAGAAAGTTTAAGTAACAGTAATGTAAATAAACTGTTTAATCTAAAACGAAAAGTATATTCTAAATCATTAAAGAAAATAATACAATAATAAACGTACACATAAATTATGTGATTAATGTTAAACAATCTTATTTATTGCAACAACTTAAACTGTTACGGAACTTTGAATTGCACAAGAGTCCCTTATTTCACAACTGCATTTATTCGTAGAACACTTCTTTTTGCAATGACAACATATATAGTCTTGCCCTCCACTTTTTGAATTAGCTGCAGCTGCTTCTCCAGTGATATTTCTTGAGAAGAAAGCTCATCTATGGAAAGTAACTTTTCTTTACAAATTACGAACTGATTAAGGGTATAAAACTGCTTGAAAGTACCATTTTTGTTTGCTAATTTATACCTAAAAGTCAGAATCTTTTATTCCAACAACAACCGCCAACACATTTCAGGCATCTGTACAGACACGGTCGACACAGAAACTTGTATTCGTATGGTATCATCAATTTGAGCAGAAGGAAACGGCGAAGAATTTGGCAACAGATTATCACGTCTCTGTCCACGTTGGCTTCTCGGGTGTCATTTTGACCTCCACCAAAGCTTATCTGTGCTTGTCAGCATACACCGGCGATTGTTCAAATGTATAATAATGTAACCAAATATTCAGTCTTTCACCAACGTATTTTATATGTGTCGACATTCACCAGAGAATATCTACATTCTCTAATTTCGGTCTTTCACAGTAACATATAATGGATATGGATAATCTTGTATTACATATGATATTACATTGCATATGTTGGCGTTTTTATGCATGAAATACAGCTAAAAATGTAAAAAAAAAAGGCTTTATTTTAGGGGTGGAGAATAGATTAATCCATTTTATAATTTTTCTTATAGAAAAATTTGTTTTGGTTTGAGAATTAATTGATTTTTGAACAATTTTTAGAAATTAATTAAGTTTGAAATCTAAGGTTTGACTGTGTAAATTAAAATTATTATTTTAAGTTTATTGAAAAATCTTAACATTGAAACAGCATAATTTATTATTCAGTAATGCCAAATTGATAAAATATATCATTTTTGTAGGTTAATATGTAAAAGGAAGTGTATTGAAAAATAAATTAATAAATAACTATGATATAGATCTAAATATTATAATTATTTGATATAGTATAGATAAAAAATGTAATTAAACATCATAAACTTAAAAATCTGCTTTATTAGAACTCACTGATTTATATCAAGTATCACTTTCTCTTACATCCAAAAAAACACATGTTTAAATTTAGAGATTAGAGTTTTATTCATTCTTTAAATAATTAAATGTTTTTTTAGATGGGAATTAGAAATTGCTCTGAAAATGATGGATTTCTTAACCCTTCAAATGCATTAATATCAAGTGATCAAATGCCAACATTTAATCCAAATTGTCCCATAACAGAGAGATCAGCTTTAGATGATTTAGTATCAAAAATTGTTGATGAGGATCAATACAGTAATAATGGATTGGCTGAGCATCCAGAAACTTTTGCACTATATTCAAATAATGATGTATTTTCTACATTTGATGGGTAAGCTATTTTTTTATTATATATATTATTGTTATAAATTTAGCAGTTTGTTGTTTTATTATATTTTGGTACATTAAGATAATACAGTGTTCCACAAAAGTATAGAACTGCTGCAAATTTACTATACAAAGGTTAGGAATTACACACATGATATAGCTACCTTACTTTATGTTTTCATAAATCCTGAACAATATGTTTGTCAAAACTCATTGTTTCCTTTATATTGCAGCAAATAGCAGAAATTATTTTTTAAAAAAATTGATTTTAAGCACGACAAAAGTATAGAGCCGACTAGTAAATGAATGTAAAAAGAATTATATACTACAAAATAGTTCAATTTAGTAATTTATCTGCACACCTCCTTTACTGATAACATTGAAAATGCAATTTGGCATGCTATCAACAAGGTTTTTTATGATCGATGCCTCGAGAGTTCCAAGCAGTGACAATTGCTTGTTTTGAGTGTTCAATGTCAGCATACTGATGATTTTGGTCATAAATTCAGTCAACTAAGATCCCTCAAATGTTTTCTATAGGGTTACAATCAGGAGAACGAACTGGCCAATTTATTTATTTTCAAACCACTGTTTTATATCTTGTGATACATGGATAGATGTATTATCCTGTTGAAAAATAAGAGGAATTCTTCTGAATCTATGTTTGTATGGCAGCAATTTGTTCTCCAGAAGTTGTTGATAGTCAGCACACTGTTCATGCGACAGGTAACGAATGCCAAATCCAATTTTCTCAATGCAGAAAAGCATCCCAAACCATAACACTCCGACCACCGAAGTTCCTTTGTGAAAAGTATTGATACTTGAGCTTTTTTTTGTAAATGATGCCAGTAGAACACTAAACCATCTGGCCCATCCAGGCCCATCCAAATTAAATTATTTTTTGCCTGGAAAGTTTATCTATACGACAAAAAGGTTGTTATTTCTTGTGCTAGCACGATAGATCTAAATGAAACAAAAACCTTATTCCATTGAGTGGTCATATTTTTCCTAGCAAAATTGAGTTGGGCAGCTTTGTGCTCATGCTTAAGAGCAGGGGCACTTTTCATTTGAGACCAAACAATGTTGTTGTTGCCTTGTAAAATCCTTTGAACGGCTTTGTGATGTACTTAAATACCCAAATCATCCCAAATTTTATACATGGATGCTGTGGATTTAGAAGCTGCATTAATAATTCATCTGTGATCTTGCAGGGTAAGCTTTGAAGGACATCCACTTCTGTGCTTTGGTTTATAATTTGCAGGATTTGACAAATAATGCTGAATGACCTTTTTTGAACATTTGATGCTGTTTGCTACTGCCTGATGACTTAAATCAGTGCTTCTCTAAGCTACAATTTGTCCTTTATTAGTCTGTTAAATGGGTATCACGAGGCATGATGAAAAAAAAAATACTTCCACACTTCAAACTTGTGAGAAAGATGGCGGTTCTATACTTATGTGGCAGTATGCAAATTGCTTCCCACTATTTTGCAGTCAGCTATGAATTAGTTTCCTAAAATTATGTTTTTATAAGTTAGGTGCTGAATTACATGTAAAAAAAATCTATTTGTATCTATTAGTGCATGTTTTGACCCTTAAAAGACCAATTTTTTGAGCAGTTCTATACTTTTGTGGAGCACTGTATAATAATTATGCAATGGAATAATGACTAATGTAAAACTTTAATAATTTGCTGAAAGATAGTTATTAATTGTTTATTGTTTAATTATTTGAATGATTCAATATTACAAATAGATATGTCTAGATTTATAAGGTAATTTTATTGACTATGCATGCAATATAGAATAGAACTTAATAAAACTAGAAATTTTGTAAAAAAACTAATCAAGATAATGCTTTTTAATTTTTGTAAATTGTTAGTTTGAAATAAATATTGTCTGTTATTTATTTATTTATTCTAAGAAATAAGAAATAATTAAAGGAGTGATTGAAATGGGAGGAAAAATTGATTAACAAAAACCAATGAATACTTTTGTCCTTGAGATTAAAGAAAACTTTCAGAACTTTTATTTAATAGATTGTTTTTGTAAGAAATATAAATTGCATTCCATTTAACAGAAATATTTTAGAAACTGATATAGATTATTTTTTATACACTGTTTATCAACTATATATTATAATTAAAGCTATTAGTTATAGGCACTTCCCTACTTAAGAGTAGGTTAGATTCCCAAGGTTTTTTCATAAGTTGAAATATTCCTAAGTCAAAACTAACCTAGAAATTACATCTGTACACACAATAACCACTTATTGTTAGTGTTTGATTCTTTAATGTACTTAATAGAATACATTTCACTTGTACATGTATTCCACCTATCACATTAATTTTATAATGTTTTAATAAATTTTATAATGTCAATGTTTCCATGGTAATAGAGTGACACATTTTTCACTTACTTCCATTGTTAGATTTACTACAGTAGAGTCTCGAAAACTCGGCCTAATGTGGACCGAAGGGTGGCCGAGTTTGTGAAAATGCCAGGTTATCGGGAATGGGGTTAAAAAAAAAATAAGTATGAGTGTTTTCTCAGAAAATACTGTACTCTACTTGTATGTATTGTTTACTTAAGAATACAACAGAGAATAAACTGCCCAAATACCCTTAAACAAAGGAAAAGTATGTCCTTTATGAAGGCATAGAGCCTTTACTACATGAAAATGAAAATTAATGAATACACTGTGTGCAGTAATTTACCTGATAAGACAGACCCCAGAAAAATACTTTATGAGGCATAAAGCTGTCTATAATGAAAATTAATTAACTAAGGATTTTTTTGCCCTGCCAGGGTGTGGCCAAGTTTTCGAGACTCTACTGCATTATGTTTTGGGTGCATTTTTGAAGCACTAATTGTAAAGTTTCTAAAAATTACAAAGAATAGCAAAAAATGCCATTACTTCAACATTATGATTTCTATGCCATCTAATGAGCAGTGATGGAATGTCAGTGTTACGGCTAACGGGAATCTTAGCCAGGCACAAGTTCAAAGTGGTGAGTCCGTACCCCAAGGTTCAAATCTATTCTGGAGTATACGTTCGTTCTTGCTTCTTGCACTCGTCGACATCCTAACAACAAGTGACCAAACCACAAAGTGTCTGACCCTCAGTTCCTCTCATACCGCACAGGGTTACTCTTGCAACGACTACCATTTCCGTGGCTAGGGGACTTCTGCCTTAGGGGTGTTTAGTCATAATTCCACGAACAATAGCTTTGCGCCACTGGTCACTCGACCAAGCACATGTACAGTACCAAGTGTCCGTTACAGTCAATATTTGCAAGAAAACAAAAATAACAATATGCAATACAAATAAATCCACATTAATTATTTATTAAAAATTTACTATTTATTACTGGCTAAAGACTGGCTTTGACACCATAACTGGCAACAGAACTTTACAATTCGTGCAAAATTTAAATTTTATATGTATTGTGAGATCCGAAAGGAGGAGAAGGCAATTTTAAAGAAAATTAATAGAAAATAATATTTTAAACTTCAATGAATTTTACAAATACGGATGTCAAAAGAAACTTTCGATTTTAGAAAGGAAGTTGATTTCCTTTCCTACGGTCAACTCACGAGATGAGTCGAGATGAATAAAAAATGGAAGCTTTTGCACACACTACTTGGCTGTCAGAGAGGACCGATATAAAAGGGACATTTTTCCACCATTCGGGGCAGTCCGTTAAAAGAGGTATTGCCACACAAAGAAAGTTTGTCATATAAGTCTGTAATACGAATTTGTTAATTGAAAGTCATACTATAGAGTCCTCCATAGGAAGTATACGACAAGATTGTCATAAGAAAAGTTATTTAAGGAAAGTGCCATAGAAAATATAAGAAGAGAATAGTTATAATTATAGAAGATTCTCATACAATGAAATATTGAAAGAACTGAGAAGGTAATATGATAATCGTTAGATCAATGTGAACTCTCTCTCACGCGTCAGGTTTAAAATAAGATTAGGTTAAGTTAGTTATTTAGATTTAGGTTTAAGAACTATTTGTTATTCATTCATTTGTATACTTTTGATATTTTTTGATTTATTAAATGTTTTGGTTTATTTTATAAATATGGTTTGGTTAATGTTAGCTATTCATACTCATTCCTATTCAAGTTACCTACATTCTTCATACTCACAAGTTAGGGATAACGCGTGTTAATCCGCGTGTAATAAAACTGATTAACTGGTGTCGGGAATCCTGATAAGGAAAAGGGTGATTACGCGATTATCTAATTTCGCTTTTGTTTTACTTCAAACCGTAAGTCCCTCCGCACTTGATTTCTTTGATAGAAAAGCCATTCTTTTAGACAACCCGAGGGCTATTCAAATGGATAGCTGCTGAATAAGTGGTACAAGAGTCTTAACTACTCCGTATCCCCGGCTAGCCCTCACAGTATGGTCAAATTGTTTGTAAGTCTGAGAGTTCATAAGTTGAATGTTTATAAGTAGAGGTGCTTTGTATTTATGATTAAATTTCATTAATTTGCATTTGATAATTAATAATTCTTTTATAATATGGACATATTAAAATTTGGAATTTCAAAGTTTAATATAATTTCAGTGCTGTTCTTACATTTATTAGTTTGACATATCCAGTAATTTGATAGTAGTCAACCCTCAGGAATTATTATCGCTGCTGCAAATTCCCTATAATTTAAACTCCAGTTTCTATTAAGTTTAGTGGGACTCCATCAGTTTGATAACAGTGATTTCCAATGATGGCAGTGCTCTCAGATGACAAAACAGAAAAAGGCAATTGAAAATTATTTTAAAAGGATTGACAATTAATTTGTGTTTTCAAATTAATCAAATACAATACCATGTGATCTATGTTTCTGATTAATGCAATGTAGTAATATCATAAAAATAAACAAATGTTTTCTTTTCTAATGATTAAACCATTGAATTTACTTTAGTTGGTCTGTTCAAAAAATAACCAAACTTTATTTTTTTAATGCTTATTCTTCAAGTTAGATTATTGGT